ATGATGATTCAAGTTAATTGGCACAAATATCATCAGAGACCTAGAAAAAAGTAATAAGTGCACTGATTAATTGCAAATCAATAATGACACGAGCTGAGATGCTGTGGAAGTTCTCCTTTAATTAAAGTATTTCACACCCATTATATATTACACAATAAGTAACCACAGAACAGCTGTCAGCGGTTGTAGCACGACAGTATAAAATTATCTACCTGCACAGGCCAGAAACACAAGAACAGCAACAGCACATAGAAATCCACCTCCATTGTTTAACTAAGTCTAGAGAGAAATGAAAGATTTCATCGTCAAGTAACGGACCGGCACTTTTCAGTTTTGTTTTTCAGAGAGAAGCTGTCAAGACAGGAAGACTTGAGAGACACCTCTGCATATATACAGTATATTTAAAAAACAATACAATACTGACCAACTGACCAGCGCTCTCTCACACACACACACACACACACACACACACACACACACACACTGATGCCTTCTTCAATACTCATTTTAAATGTCATCATTCAAGCCTCTCCACCCTGTACCCAATTAAACAGCTATTGAGTGCATGGTTATAAGGACTGATTTTTCACCACAACAACCGGCTGGATAATGGGAAGGTTCATTCTGATAATTCCTCTGCGGATCAAATAAAGGTTAGCATTCAAAATGACCAGTGATAAGTGGGATTACTCGGGGGATTCAACACTTTGTTCCGGAGTGAAATATCTTGATTATGACAATTACTGAATGAGCTTTTGTCATGTTTGGTCTGTATATTCATGGTCCTCAGAGGATGAATCCTGATGACTCTGCTGGACATTTTATCTCGCGCCACCAACAAGACAACGTTTCCACTTGTCTAACATTTCAGTTGCAATGTCAGAAAACCTTTAGGAGAATAATTTGCCTTTTTGAAAATACGTTTGGACCCTGCGCTTGTCGCCAATAGTTACTCCATACAAAACCACAACTTACTGTGTATTTTTCATTTTAGTTTGTGTACAGATTAAACAAACACAATGCAACGTGGTAATTAGTCAGCTTTACAGGTACATGTAGGTGTACCTACCCCCACCCCCCTCCCATATTACAGGACCAAAGGTAGAGGTTAGGTAACATTAGAACCTATATAGTTGTTCAAACTTATCTCTCCATTTATTATCCATCTCTCCAATTTATTTTACGGTACCTCATAAACTGTTTATATTAGGATGTTATGTGTTTTCATATTGTAAAAAACAATCAGCATGAGGAAAAAAATTGTCTTTTTTTCAGGTGGGTTAATTAGATCTTATCACATCTAAACATTGTCCAGAATATTTCAGTCAGAAATGAGCCGTCACCACGAGAGCAATGAAAAATGCACAAATCATTAAATTCAATAAATCCCCAGCAAAGTAATGCAACGTTGTGCTGCTTTATTTCTCTGAAATGTAAAGGCTACATTTTTGTCCTAAATTTCTACCGTTTTATAAAACCAGGAACATGATGGTCTCTTATCAGATATTTTTGTGAGTTTTTCAAGCTGTCAGATTTTTAAAAACACAGGAAGTATGTGGCAAAGAAAGTTAAGAGTAGTTAAGTTAAGAGTAAAAAAACAAAAACAAAAACAAAAAAACAGAGGGGAATTTTATTTTGACCATTTCTTTCATCTACGATATTTCTTCATGTTTTAGGTTGTTCCGCTCAGATGTGACAGCACAGCCCGTCCAGGCAGAGGTGTTCAGATAACTGTTTATTGTTCTCCACCTTGCATTTCAGTTCTATTACATGATAAGCTACATGAAAATAGTCACTGCAATCAGCTATAAAAATAGGACTCCATCAGATAATTTGCAGAACACGTCACCCCTATTTAAGGTGTATTATTATAAACATTTGTGTCAGCAGCAAATCTTCATCTAGAATCTGAGCACAAGGCGACCCACCACTGCACAATAAGAATCCACTGAAATTTTGCACTGACACTACTGAAGTCATGCTAGAAGAAACCTCAGAGAAGGCTTGAGAACAACAGGACTGAGTACAATTCAGGAAGTCTGAGTAGAAAATACAATAACTCTATGAGCAGGCACTGTATGATTGCACACAAGTATGCAGCAGGGATTACAACAGATCACCGACTTTCACACAAAGCCAACAAGCAGTGCCACTGTATATAAAGTCTAATTATAGAGCATATCAACAGCAGTGCTACAGGTGAGCTACAAACACCAGGTGAGAGAAATCCTCCCAGAATTAAACTGAAGCTTCGGGGCAGTGTGTAAGAAAACCTCAGTAATTTGCATCACTCTGATGTCCCTGACTTCTTTCCTCTGCCGAGCACTCGAGGCTGCAATCACATGCAATTTCTTCTAATTCCTCAAAAGGACAGCAGAGAACATTGAGAGAGGAGAAGGCTGCTGTTCATGTCAAAGCGCATAATATTGATTTTCTTTGTTGCCTTGTTTTTCGTATTTCTTCCTTGACATCTCTGCTTGGTCCTCTGGGCTTCATTAGAGTTGAAACAGACATAATTAAAATGCCTCTCATCACTCGCTGGTGCATAATTGGCACTTCACTGACAATAGTAGAAACTAGTACATATGTAGTTATATAGAGTACAAATCCAACACATTTACAGTCATTTCAATCATTCGAAAGCATTTTACAAAATACTACATAGAAAATTAACAAGTTTGGACAAAATATCATGCTAGTCAAAACACACTCTCGTTCTTTATCACTCTCTTTCTCTCTCTCTCTCTCACACACTCACACACACACACGCACACACATGCATATAGTAAGGCTTTAGGGTTTCATTAAGCTTTGAGCATGTCATGCAAACACCAGTGTGTTATTGACATATTCATGCCATGCAACTGGTACTCTGAACTTTGACTACAGTGCTCTATTCTTCTCATATGAGACATTTAATACATTTACATGCGCACAAGTACGGTATTTGTCCACTGTCAATACTGTGACCAAGGCAACAGCCTGTTTGCATAAACTGAGTGTTAAATTCTGTTTACATGACTGATGTATTTAATTTTATGACACAAGTAGAAAGTGTCACTTTTAATAACCTTGTTACTAGTTCGTCCATCAGGATTAACCAAAAAGCAGTGAAAGCAGCGAAAGCACTTTATCACGGCCACAGACTTACTTCCATTAAAAATGACATAGCAAAATAAAATGTTGGAGAGAATTTGACATGTTCAACTGAAGCATAGTGACCGGATATTTTCAAGTTATCTTTTAAGAATTGAGGGAGCAAGTCATCCTGAGGGACGTCAGTGAACCAGAGTGGAGTCCCAATGATCTTTCATGTGGCTGTGTGACCAACTGCAAAATTGAATTCCCCTCTGATCCTGTATTCTTGGTGTTGAGCAACACTGGGGTGATGCCAACTGGCCTGAATTCAGAGTGAAAATGTTGGCACACCTATTTGGTGAGAACCTGTTGCCTAGTTGCACAAGATTTAATCAAAGTGCAGACACTGAATGAGGCATGTGTGACAGGCTGCAGCTGTAAAGTCCACATATGGCTGAATAGATTTCATCAACCAAATAAATATACATGTAAAATATATGAAGGAACTTTCTCATATACTCTGCAAAAATGTTCTTCTCCTTCCTCTACATTTATTAACTCAGCTGGGTTTCATGCAGTCAAAGACATAACTAGTGGCTGTCAAAGACATTAAAATCCATGTACCCCGCACTGCATAAAATCTTATCTTAATAAATAATTTCTGTCTCTTTTTGTAAGCAAAGAAATGTGCAGGTGCAGCAGGACTATTTTAACCTGTTTCCAAGACTGATCTAGAAATGAGTATTTTAAATGTCGCACTAGAATCAGAAAAATGAAACTTGATTTTTCTTTTACTGCTTAAAATAAGTGGATTTGTTTTGAAAACAGGCTCAAATATTCCTTCTGCATACACAGATTTTCTAATTTACTTTTTAAGAAAAACACAGTTTAAAGGTACCCTGTGGAGTTTTTGACCACTAGTAGTGCTACGGAGCAAATTTTTTTGTTGTGTCATGAGGAAGCGAATGATTTCAACACATTTGTGAGACCTCACGGATACACACAGTGTGTTTTGGTGAAAACATAACTTTTGTTTGTTTGAGAAAACTCAACAGGGCACCTTTAATCTAGAAACAAACCCTTTTTGCAGTGCATGTATGTGAATTGACTTCACTCTCTTTCAATAAGAGCATAAGTACAACAACAGTATCAGATTATGGCAATCGTAGGCTTAAGTCATACTTGCAATTATCAGTCACATTATAATTATATTTTTGATGTGTATGTAAATGTGATTATCGTGACTGCTCTGTTTGTCCTCACCCCCTCCACTGTAAGAGGTGGGCCATGGCAACTGGGATCAAAGGGTCATTTGCACATCAGGATGTAGTGCCACTTCAAAGCTTGCGCTGATTCACAAAGGCATCTTTGTGCTGAACGCACGGTGTAGCTCATGTAGAATCCCGTCCAGTGCTGCTGTGAATTTATGTCACAAAACCATGCCGCACATGATGTAAACAGTGCAGGCAAGGACACCGAGACAGGCTGATGCACAACTGTCGTCCAACCTTTGAACCAGACCAGGCTGAGGAAGTTGGCCGGGAGACATGTCCGGAACAAACAACTTTCATCTGTGAAATTCATCTGTTGCTGTTGAGTCCAGCTTGGTTTAATGAGCATTCATTATTGGGAGAAGGAAAGAGGTAAACCTCAACCACCATAAATCCAGCCATGTATGTCAAGACACTCATTTACTTCAGCTTGGTGTTTTTTCAGATTTCAGAATAAAACATCTCTTCTGTCTAGGAATCTGTTTCTTGCTAGAAACCCTTAATTTTCCCTCTCCCTTTATATTTATGTTCAGTAGTTTAATCTATCCAAATAAAAAGAGCAGGTTGTATAGAAACCAGTGCAAACATCTAATTTAAGCTTCAATCAGTATCCTTGGTTTTTGCCCCCTTTGACCTCCAGATCGTGCGGCTTTAAAGGCCTGAGAGCAGCTTTGTCAGCTGCACCTCTCGCTCTCCCAGCAGTGTGTCCCTCTTGAGGCTGGTGCCTTTGTTCACCACCTTGAACTTCACCGACAGGTTCTTCACCTGAACCGAGCTTATTGAGTCAAAGAAGAAGTCCTCGTTGAAGACTGGATTGCGGCTGTTCTTGATGATGTTGCTCCTTTGCTTCTGCAGCTTGCCTGGGTTCAGGTAGACGGACACACAGCAGTTGATGCTCTTGATGTCAAAGTGCTTGTCGTAAAGACTCTCTGCTGCCAGGACGCGGATCAGCAGGCGGGAGGTGCTTGAGTCGTAGTTGGCGCTGATCCTCACCGTACCGCCTTTGTGCAGGTTGATGGTGTGCTCTCGATGGAGGCCGTGGTCGGACGCTCCAGCTCCGTGGAGGGAGGGGACGTGGAGGCGTCTCTGGATGTTGGGGCTGGGCTCGGCCGAGCTGCACTCATCGGTGGAGAGGGAGCTGTGGCGAGCGAACGTCCGCTTGGCTTTCACGACTTTGGCCTGCGTCTCGTGGGTGAAGATCTTGAGCAGAGATGCTGAGCGGGAGAGCAGGGGAGAGCTGAAGGGAGAGGACTCAGCCGAGGAGCAGGTGTCACTTTCACCACCGCTGAAGTATCGATAAGGATTCATGTGAGAGGCGCTGAAGTCAGCTGGATTCAGGTGGTTTCCTGCTTCGCTTTTCCCGGGGATCTTCCTCTGGGTGTTTGGGGAGGTGATGGGACTGGTAAGTTCGCAGTGGAACAGCGACTCTTTTCGGCGAGTGTGGGGGCTTTCCTTCAACGTTGCAAAACCATAAGATGTCTGAGTCTTGGGAACGTAAGGCAGGGACATAGCTGTCTGCGACTGGGGGTCTGCATTTGTGTCTCCAGCCACAACATCATCAGCACTCTCTATCTGTATGATGTGGCGGTTTGCTGCTCTCAACAAGTTCTTAGTGTCTCCCGCAATCTTGGCCACCAGACGTGGACTTCTTGGGCTGCTGATCTTCTTCCCACTGCCGATAGTTTGCTCTGACGTGGACGGCTGCAGCCCCTCTTTGGGCTTCACATTAGGAATCTCAGGCTCTGGGGGGCAACTGACCAGCTTTGGAGGAATGAAAAAGTCTGGGATCTTGTCAGGGGTGAGGACGTTGCTGTAGGCTGGAGCAACGCCTTTTTTGTCTCCGTTCTCTCCCTGTCGCAGAACACCAGTCTCCACCGAACCACGGATCTTATCCAGAACCCACATGGTCCCACCAGACAGTGGGATGTGCAGGCCAGTGGACTAAGTGCAGTCAGGTGTATCTGCGGTTAATGACACAAAGGGGTGGAGATGTAAATGATCCGAGGAGGCAACAGAGAGATAAAAATAACACCTCAGCGTTGTAGCTCTGAGGAGAAAACAGTCTATGAATACACCTCAGGTATTTAAAGGCTTAAAACTGAATAAACAAGAAATATTACAGAGCATTTACAGAGCTATTGACAACAGACGCTATGGAGTAAAAGCTCTCACAAAAGATACATACCACAGCTGTAAAAAGGTTTTCTTTGACTGCAGTTAATTTACTAGGCTCAATACATCTTAGGAGAGGGGGACTAACAGGTCTCAGCAGGCAGCAGTGTGAAGTCTTTAAACTGACAAACGATACAAAATCAACCAGAATTCAACTAGCCAACATTACAACATTTATAACAAATGAAACGGAGCCATAATAGTGTTTAGACTGCAGAGAGGCTTCACTGAATGGTGGAGTAAATTTAGAGTGAAGGTAGGAATAGATTAACAACAAACCAGGGGCTTCTTCACTATTTTCTTTTGATTCTCGAGATTTTAAAAGACTAAATTTAAAGTCGCATTCTTTATTTTTACTATTAATTGACATTGTGTTAATTTAAACGTGTATACTACATCCTCTCTTGATATAACTGAGAATTGTTTATGTGCATGTTATTCTTTAAACTGTGATTTAATTCTTGCTTTCAGTTTTAAGTAAATGGTGTTAAATACAGGGTCAGAAAAACATCATTTTACAGTTGATTCCCTTGTCAACTTAAATAACTAACAGTATAGCATTAGATATTTTTCCTGCTTCTTTAGAACATCTGCACTTTTAGTTTGCAGCGAAAACTACAGCAGTGAAAAATATCCGATAAAAGTGAAAAACTAAAATTCACTTCAGCAGGTGCGAGAAGAAAGCTGCCTCCTTTTACGCACCAGTCCGTTTTCCAAAACCTCTCAAATTTAATGTCGCCGTGAAATCTGTGACAACACACCGCTCCAATCTACAGAAATCCACCGATAATATACTTACAGCACTACAGAAAGCGACACGCTTCTCTCCCTCCACTTGCTCCGTCAGTAACAGGTGTTTTCTCCTCGGATAAACTCGTGCGCTCCGTGACGCTGCTCTGCGCCCTCAGACGGTCTCAGCTCCGGAGCTCCTGTCGTGCGTTTTATACACGGCACGCGGCTGCGGCTGACCAATAAGATCAAACTGTGCGTTTCCGTGTTTCCCAGCAGAACCAGTTATAGAAACACACTGGTCACATTTCAGAGGAGGAGGAATCTTACAGGTGGCGTTATCCCGCGCAGTAAGTGCCAGTATTTAACAGCCAGTGCTGCGCCATGCTGAAGAAATCTGGTGTTTTACATTTGTATTATATTTGTATTTATGCTGTTTTCATCACAGCTGCAAGTATTGTATTGTCATATTACCTGGGTGTAAGAATAAATGCATCACAGTCTCTCTAACTCAGTTTGTTCTCTGTCTTTAAACTCAAATCAAACTTTCATCCAAGGATATGAACATGATTAAAAAGAGAGACATGAAACACTTACTGCCTACTTGCTTCACCTCAAGCTCTATACACAAGGCCACTTTTGTTAGTTTTTTTCCACTAGCACACACAGCACAGAGCTTGTGTTTCAGTAAGCCATTACATCTAATAAGACTGTGCCTATTTGACCAGGAGACGCACATGCAGCTGAGCAGACAATGCAGCGTGGAGAACATGCACCTGTGTGCTGTGTGGTCTAATTCAATTTACAGAAGCAATTTTATTTTATTTTATTTTTTTTACCCCTTCTTCTCTTTCTATCTGCCTGCCTATCTTCAGGTTTAAACTGACCCTGGAAACTTTGCTATGGCAACAAATACATTTGTCTTTCTAAAATAGGAAGAGCCCCACTGACTTCATTGATCTGCTGGACAAAAAGCACTTTGTTTGTCCAGATTGCTTGGTTTTGAGTCAAGTGCCATGTATCTCATGGACAGAGAGGGGTGAAACTACTGCTTTATCAGAGATCAGACACATAGAGCAGCGCTGCATTGACTAGACAGGGAGGAATTTTGAAAGATGTGAGCTACTGAGAGAGTCGATACCTGGTGACAGCGAGGGGCAGTGGCAACAACAGCTTTACAAACAGCTGATTAACAAATATTTAGTGTGAACAGCCCTGGAAGAGGTGTCAGCTCTGTCTCTGCCTCAGTCAGATGGAAAATGAGATGAGTTTGACTGTTTTAGATGGAGTTGCCCTTCTTGTCACAGATAATTGGGATCTCGCAGAACAAAACAACCAGAGCTTTAGGGTAAATGAGCTGTTGGATCAAACCCCCATTTTCATTTCAGCCTCTCCTTAAAAAAAATATTGTCTCAAATCTTAAGTATTTCTTAATATCATTAAATATTTATGAATACATGAGAAACAATCAAAGATAAAGTTAGGGAGAAAAAAAAACATAATTAAACATCATGGATGTTTACAAAGAATCACCAAAATCAGTGTGAGTCATTCTCTGGAAACCATGAATGTCTGTACAAAATTTGATGATGCACGCAAGTATGTGACGTTCCAGCCGAGGCCCTCCCCACTTCAAACCAGTGCAAAAACCAAGGACAACATAACACATATACAGAAATTTCTCATTAAAGAAAAACTTACCAAAGCAAAAATATTATTGAGAAAATGTGTTTTCAAGGCCTTTAAGTGGGAATAGCTCAGTCACAGAGAGATCAGCCTAAACCCAAATGTATAGCACATGTGCTGTCATTCAACAGGTGGTGCAGAGGTATATAGCACAATGCCTATTTACATACGTGTATGTGCAAATATGCACACACAAAAAAAAATCTGGATCCACAGAGGAGGATAAACTTGCTACACAACATTCTGCACCAGGCGGTGGAAGTGAGCCTGCACGTTATGGTTCAACCTATAGCGACAAGGACACTCATGAGGACAGCCTCAGCATGGCATGTAAACCATGTGAGCTATTTGAGCTCTGAGTGGGGATAATAACACATTTTTCTTGCTGGGGTCCTCCCAGAGGTCACCGTCCGATGTTATCAACCCATGGAAAGAGCTACTTACCATATAGATTGCAGAGGCACATCTGAACCCTGACCTTCTGCTGTCCGCTCTTACTCAGCACCCTATAGACACTCGACCTGTAACGCTTGTCAAACAAAACACGTTTTAAGGTTTAAATTAGTCGACTAGAGGCACATAAACAATTTTTTTCCCCCATTAATCTGTTTTTAGCCATTAAGTGTCATAAAATAGTGAAAAATGCTCACCGCCATTTCCGGCAGCCTAAGGTGACCTCTTCACATTATTGGTTTCATGAGACCAACAGTCTTGAACCCAAAGATCTGAAAATGACAGTAGAAGTATACTCTGAGTATAATCTGAGATTTGGTCTGTATGAGATGTTCTTCACATTTTGTCTGTTTTTTTGTATGTAAATGTAGATATCTAATTATCTGATGCACATTCTCTGCACCAGTGGTTTTAAAATCTTGTTCATGTCCCTTTGGCTCCACCAAACTACAAAATTAACTTAAAAAAAGATGTCACAAAAAAGAAACTGGGGCTAGTGAATGTTTGAGCATTCTTGCTCAAAAAACATCCAATCGATTAATCAACTAATCCATTCAACACTAAAGTATACAGCTTTTAGTTTTATTACAGGAAAAGCAATGGAAAAACTGCCTCATGAATCCAACAAAATGGGTTATGTTTATTAAAATAAATGGAAACAATATCTCCTGGGGAACATTTGAATGTCATACCACTCTGCAAACAACTCCAGGTCCGCACTGTTAACAGCTTCCTTTACAAAATAATGAGATCGATACACAAGCGTCTGAGAATCTTTAGTGTTGAGACGAAGACAGTCTACAGCCTGAGAAAAGGTTAATGTGTCTGTTCTGCTCTCATTAAGGGGCCGGACCCTACATCTCTGTCTGTCCAAAAACGTGAGGAACTCTGCAGCTATTACAAACTAGTAAAAGCACAGAAGTGAACAATACGGATCTGATTCACTGTGGCCGTGCTCGCTTGTTCTCTCCTGTCATCCGGATAGACAGATGTACCTACACACAGGAAGTGATGAGGGCAATTATATAACAAAAAAAGCAGCTGAAGGAGTCAATTCACCACTGTGGCGCAACATCTTCCCTGCTGATGTCCGATTGGCTTCCTGGAAGGACAGGAAGGAGGAATTGAGGCTGGTACGTAGAAACAAGGCTGTCAGACTGAAGAGGAGCTGCACAAAAGCTCTGCAGGACGTCTAGTGTACCTCCAGGTTTGCTCATTGTTCCTTTTACAGTGTGTGTGTGTGTGTGTGTGTCTGCATTGACTCTTAGCACATATGGTCACTCATTATGGTCAAGCAAGAAAAAAAAAAAGGAAGAGGCCTAACACGTCATAGGGTCCATTTTTACCCCACGGCCTCTTATTGTTGCCATCCATCTTTCTTTCTTCCTGCCAACCCACTTCCACCTTCCACACAACTTCTGTTGCCTTGGAGACATCTCATATCCTGACATATGGATCAATCCCCCCCCCCCCCCCCACTAACCAACTCTGTATACTCTCGCATTTCTTCACCTCTCAGTTCAACCAGTTCGTTCATTCCTCGGGCAGTGCGGCTATCCATAGGTCATCTACGACTCTGACTCAGTTGGCCTCTACTCACTGAGGCTGGAGGAGATCAATGCCAAAACCACCAGCTGGAGTAGGGGGACGCAGAAACGCATGTGACTCACGGTCACAGCACGAAACCACTGAGAGAGGGTCACGGGTTGTAACATCTGGCTCTGATCCGGCAGTCGGCTTTATAACCTGCAGTTTAAGCAGAGTGTTATCCTTTCTGGACAAAAACACAGTGCGAAGTATGAAAGAAACCACAGAGGGAGAGAAGCAATTCTGCAAATGCCAGGTCCATTTGAGTGTCTTGATTTTTCTGGTCCGCTGAACTGGCATTTGGATTGGACACACGCAGGGCGAAAGGTCAAACCTGTCACCATAGGAGACAAATTTGATGGGCTCAGCAGCAAAGATGGTATGTCTCTGAGGGGGTAGAGGGGCGACTGATGGGATGACCTAGGAGCTCAGGGGAGTGTGGGTAAAAGGATGCAAGAAAAAAAAATAAAAAATTGATTGGAGAAAATTGCCCTCAGAGCTGACCTGAAGCACCAGCATACAGTATACTGATGAGGGGAATCTCCCTCTACGCTGTCTTGCAGATTGATGATTTTCATTTTCAAGCACCAGATAACAGGCTCAACTTAACCAGGAGTATGGAGATACCATATAAGTCATGTACAGGAGCAGCATAAGTGCACATAGAGTCTACTTACAGTGGTTTCACAGTGGGTGATGAGAAAAGTGGAAATGACCAGTAGATACTTTGCCACTTAGATATAAGAAGGTGAAATATATATATACAGTATATAACCCATATCACTCTTATTATTGTACTCTTCTTTGAGGGGATGGGAGCGCCCCCGGCTGGAGAATAAAGGCAGGGAGACACTGCAGGCTTCAGCTTGTAGTGTTGATTGCAGAATCACAGGCGTTTGAACTGAGAAAAGAAAAGGCACTCACACTTTATTAGGCACAAGTTGATAAAAATACACAATTACCATCTCGCCAGACGTCTTAACTTTTTGTGCTCACTTAGGCTGGTACAAACTTGCTGTCAAACACCTCCAGTGTAACCAGAGACAAGCTGTTGCTGCCCCCTAGAGGGCCCACAAAATAAACTCTTTTGAAGAAAAGGCATGTGGTTCATACTGTATGCGTTCACATGAAGAGAGCAGCTGGAAATCCTTTAAGTCTCCACCACCCCAATAATAAAGGCGACTGCAGGGTACAGATCTCATCACACACACTCTTCACACAGCTTGAACACACTGGACAGAAAACCAATACAAGCTTGTGGAAAAATGTGTTGATCAAAGCTGATACTGAATGTTAGTGCAAAAAGAAGAATAGAGAGTGTCGGAGATTACACTTAAAAAAAAAAAAAAGAGTAGTGTGATTCACCAGTTGCCTTGTAAAATGAAGGGTTTTATCTATTTTTCGCTGAGCACACCCCTGAACGCTGTTAATATGAGCTTGTTTGTCTCCACTAAGAAAAGCTTATTACGCTCTGGTGTTTTTTCAAGCAAGAACAAACACTGTCTCACCTTGTTTTTCTTGCAGGATACCATGCATGCCTTTAAAGCACCTGTGAGACAATAAGCAGGATCTACTATAAAATACAAGTCTTCCTGCAAAAAAACAAAAAAAACAACAAACAAACAAAAAACAAAGCTCCAGTAAAGCTGAACAGACACAGGAAATGTTTCACTCGGACAGGAACTTTGACACTTTAAAGTGGATAAGTTTAAAGTTTTGCCATGCTTATATGCAACTTGTTTCTGATTAGTTTCTAAAAAAGAAAAGAAGCAGCAGAAAACTTGACATGCAAGAAGTGATCTGAAACTGAAGGCAGGTAGTTATGAGGCAGCTACATCAGGGAAGGTGTAAGAAGAATGTGAGATTCTCCACGGCACCAGGCTCTAGAGGACGAATGCTGTCAATTCCCATTTTATTTGTTTTTTTATTTTTATTATTTTTCATCTCTTGATTAGTTGTACAGCTCAGCTTTAAACTGGCTGGTTTATTATAATGTTGCAAAAATAATTAAAAATGCCCATCACAAGTTCCCAGAGCCCAAGGTGAAGCTCAAATCTACTGATAGAAAACAGAGGATCGACTAATTGATTGTTTCCGCTGTAGTTGGAAGGTTTGTAAATTTTCATATTTCAGCTCCTTTACTGACAATTTGATTTGCATATTCCAGCAGCATCTACAGTGATGCATAACAGCACTGCATTTCAAAAAGGAAATTGCCTTTATTTCATGCAAAGCGGGGCTAAATTAACGACAGATCTCACAAAACATAGAAACGTCTTACCGTAGTTCCTTCCAAGACTTGAGATTAGCAACAACAGGAGACAAGGAAATAGAAACCAAGGCCATTTAGAGAGGGCTTTTCTTATATTCCCACTTTGAACAGATAAAACATGGAAAGCATCAGGAAATCCTTTAAAGTCTCCACCACCCTCTGAGTATAGCAGGGTGACTGCTGAGTACACATTTCATCATGCACTTTCCTCACACCTTAGCTCCACCACAAGGTTTACAAAAAGCATCAAGTGAAAGTGAAAAGAAAGGACACAAGTCTTACCTCTCAGAGCTAGCCCTGAGTTTCACTCAAATTTCATGCACTCACGCCATTTCAGTGTCTATAAGAGAACACAGAAAAGGGAGAAACCAGTGAGACCTTTAAATCTCTCAAACAGAGACGAACAGAAGCTCTCCCACCTCCCAATAACAAAATCAGTCAATATCTAATAAAGATCTTTATTTCAGATTTTAAATAGATTTACAAACCATAAGAAAAAAAGAAAATATAAACAAGAGAAAAAAAACAAAACATCAAGTGATCGTCAAAATATCCACATGTGCATATCAAGGGATTGTAAACAGTCCTTTGAAGCCAAAAAGTGAGACTCCCCGTGGTCAGGTTCACTCAGCTGGAAAAGGATTTGTTTGTTTGTTGGTTGTTTCTTCTTTTTTTTTTCTTTTTTTTTTCCTGAGGTTGTTTTCTGTATTTAACAGCTGGGTTTTTTTCCCTCAGTGATGCTGCCACCAATCAGAGCTCAGAGAACTTGGGGGTGGGGGGGGGTAAAAATAACAGTGGTTTGACAAAAAAAAAAAAAAAAAAAAAAAATGAAATCCCATTCACCCTAAAACATTGAAACTGAGGGGGGAGAATCATTCATAGGCTGTGTAATGGACATCAGTCAATTATCGGGTATTGATAACTAATTTCTGAGCATTCAGGGCTGAGAAAGGCTGGGAAGAATTTATGTATGGTGCGCTGTGTCAGTTTGGTTCGGTATTACTTTTCTGTTGTTTGATTTTCACTTGGTACATTTAGTTATTCGTCCATGGACAATCCTGGGGTTTTTTTTTTTTTTTTTTGGTTTTTTTTTTTTTAAACAATCAGGTCAATATTCTTAGCACTTAATACATATCAGACAGAAAACATTGCAGCTCACACCACAATTTGGAAATAAAAAGATTACATCAAAAACAGTCAAAGAAGCCCAAAATAAACGGATAACCCTCAGCCCATTCCCAATGTGACAGTTTTTAGATAAAATTGAGAACCTTTGTCCCTGGACACAATCCCGACCCTTATAGCAGATCTAAAACCACAAACACATCATTAACAGCATGCTAGTGAAGAACCACATTCTCCTGTCCATGCTCAAAAGATCAACCCTATCCCCATGCCTTCCCATTTCTGCGCTTCTTCTCCACAACTTTTCAGCACATCTTATGAACGATCTGTGAATATTCACACACACACACACACACACACACACACACACACACACACACACACACACACAGACACAGACACACGCAACGGACACATGGTTACAGCGATGTTGAAAATTTCATTGGAAATACTGCTGGATGGTGGTAATGTTGTCTTTTTGAGTGTGCAACAGAGCACTCCTGGCAGTTAAAAAGAGGGTCTTTGACAGTACAGACTGAACACAAAACCGCATCAGGCCATTTTCATTCTTCTGAAACACTCGCACTGCTACCTGATCTCCTCTCACGTAGCAGGTGTCATTGATTCAGGTGAGTCAAGATGGCTGTTGAACATTTCAGAGCAGGGGAATAAAAATAAAAAAAAATAAAAATAAAAAAAAAAAAAGGAGAAAAAAAATAAAAAATAAAAACCAACACTGCTTGTACACACAGCCACCACTAGGGGGATGTGCTCTGTGGAGGCCTGTGTACAATCTCACTCTTGTTTCTTCTGCTCTGGAGACTTGTGCTACTCTGGTTTAGATTAACAAACCACTGACAAACATAAAAACGGACACAACTGCACATGTCCATCTCTAACCGAGGACACCGTCAGTCCAAAGTCCTAACAGGTATGTAGCTGGCTTGTAAAACTCAAGCTGAAGTTCAGGTCAGACCGTTGAAAAGGCTCAGCTTCACTGCCACGTTTAAAGCACTGCATAATAAGTGAGTTCAAGCCCTGACTGCATAGGTTTTTTTTATGTTTTTTTTTTTTTTATACAGTACATTGGATTTCATGAGCAGCAGCAGGCTCAGCTAGCTGTTTGTTAATGCATCCAGGCCACTAGTAGCACGTGCTTGTGTGATGAAGGCTGCGTGGCAGTCGGTAGAGGACGTCTGTGGGATCCTGATTTACATTCCACTCTTTAGTTCAGCTGCTGGATCTTACCTTTCTCACTCACAGCCTGGACAAATCTGACAGGTGCTGCTATTAATAACTTGTTCCATCAGGAGGGCGCTGTTTGCACAGTTGTCCCTCACCTGAGACCTTGTGAGCCTGAATATCTCCCTCTGCCACCTTTTGTTTGTCTGGCTGCTTGGGTTTTTGGCTTTGAGCGGTCTGTCCCATGAGTCATTCAGATCTGCGGTATCAAGGAGCGAGGGAAGGCACAAGGGAGTGTGAACAGCTTCCCTGTTTGGAGCAGCACAAGCCCTGGGGCTCTAAAAATGTCAGAGGTGAAGCATGGCAGGGCTTCAAACAGCCTGGTAACTGGAGGTCACACACATGGCTCAGAGGCGGACGTGTCTCAGCTTTTCAACACACACATGCACTCACACACACGCACTCACACACACACACACACACACACACCCACACACACACACACACTCACACACACGCACTCACACACACGCACTCACACACACACACACACACACACAAACACAAACTGTATAATTTTTCTAAATTAGCTTCCTTTACAAATGCTCTCTGCATGTTTTACTCTGATCTGACTTGTGACGTTACATTCCTCCCTGCTGCTGATGATGTTAAGAAAAGGCATGACCATTCTTAGGCCAAAGTTATAAGAAAAGAAAAAAAACACAACTTGGCTTTGTTCCTCTCAAAGCCAGAGGAAGAAATAGGTGTTGGAGCTAAAAACACTTTTGTGGGAATTTAAACCAGGTACCAGTGCAGACAAGCAGAAGCAGACGAGGAAGTACTGTTACTATAAGTTTTCTTACTGTGTGTGTATCATGTGTGTAAACCTCTATTCCAACAAAAAAAAAAAAAAGAAAGAAAGAATAAAAGAAAACATGTAAGAAACCAACAAAAACAACTCTGTAGCTTTCTTTTCTTCGATGCATCAGGTTTTAGTGTGCATACAGTGACTGCACAAGTGACAGAAGGTGGACAGGGAGGCCTGTGCTAAGTGAGGATGATGAAGGGGTTGAGGGGAAGAAAAAGGGGGGGCAGGGAATTAAAGTTCAGTCCATGACAGAAGAGGGAGGTGCGTGTGTGTGTATGTGTGGGGCGGAGTGGGGGGTGGAGGGGGCTAGGACTGGTGAATAAGGAAGGGGGGTTGGGGGTGACGTCACGGGGTGGCAAGGTCAGGAATCCTCGGTGCCCGAGTCGTCATCGTCATAGCAACAGTCCTCGTTGTCATCCTCATCGTCGTCCTCCAGCTCTTCGTCGTCGTAGTAGTCGTCGTATAAGAGGTTGGAGCCGTCGTCTGTGGGTGGGACTTGGGTGCGTACGCAATACTCGTCCAACGTGATTGGAACCTTGACGCCGTCCCGCTCTGCGTCAGCTTTGGTAGCCAGCACCTGCTTCCTGCGAGAGGGAATGACAGAAGGGGGAGGAAAAAAAAAAAAACAAAGCAGTCAGGTGAGGCCACAGAGACCTTTATTGACAGTACTCTCTGTACCTAATAAACTGACAAACTCTCTGAAGTGGGAAGAGTGTTGCGTGTCCTCTAGGCACCTGATGATTTCGATGTATTCTCTGTCCTTGCCCTTGCTGTCCCTCCACTTGCGGTACATGACGGACGCGTCCACGTTGGCCGGGGAGAAGGTGTTGGGCTCGTTCAGTAGAGAGATCACGCTGAGCAGAATGGTCCTGAGAGGAGATGTCAACAGGTGAGGAAAAGAGGAGCGAGAGATTAAAATAGAGGAAAGCAATACAGGGGGAGGAAAAGGAAAACACGGGGGGGGGGGGCAAAGATGGAGGTAAGACGAGTAAAGAGACATTGAGAATGCAGGACAAAGACGTGCACAGAGATGGAACAAAGAGAGACAGAGAGGGGTGAGACATGAAGGTTAGGGTCAGACAAGCAGCCTGCTAAACATCCATTTGTCTCTGCTGTCATCTGTTGATTTCAACTCTTGGCTCCAAGAAAGATACTAACAGACAATACAACCATATTATTTATACTTGGGTGAATCAACTAGGTGACCTAGTTGATCTGACCAAGCAACTATATAGGGGTTAGAGCGTAAAAAGCTTGGGTGTTACAGTACGCCCCCCTCGTCCCTAAACTGTAACCATTTCCTTTTGTTTTTGTTGTTGTTTTGATCATCAGCTCGTGGGCTACAAAGGACGCATTATTGTGCTACACACCTCTGTTCAACTGTGAGAGTTGGGCATAAACATAATGCATAAAAGGAAAAGCTAATGCGAGAGAGAGAGAGAGAGAGAGAGAGAGAGAGAGAGAGAGAGAGAAAATGGGGAAGCTGCAGGGGTTGAAAGAATGTGTGTCTAGTGGAAATAAAGGGGTATGAATTATACATCATGTTTGTAAGTTTGCTGCATTTACACTGCAGCAAGATGGTTGGCAGTTGAGGGAAGATCTCGAATAACTGTCTACCATTACGTTATGTCCATGAGCAGGAATCAAAACTTGAGTGTAGGAAATAAGTCTAAAAAACTTTTGGTATGAAAAAAGCTTGTAAGTCCAGTCCAGACTATATTAAAAGGGTTACATCTCCCATACACAGTTCTTTAATGTATTTCAAACTTAATGTAGTGAAGCTCAGAGCCTGACAACAAATGTGCAACTGTCCAAATACTTACGGTCTGGACTGATAGTCGAGATAACAGATTGACAGATAATTCAAATAGCGATATTTAAGGAGGTCGCTGTAAGACACTGGACAAAGAGTAACTCTGGTGATCTGGTTTTATGTACAAAAAGAACCTAGGATGGGATAAAGAGCATTCTGTTGTGTACCTGACGTTCTGTGTGGGGTTCCACCTCTCTGACGGCAGCTCACCGCTCTGTGGGTCGTCCACTGGTGGGTGCAGGATAGAGATACACACATCCCCGTTCTAGGGACGCAAGAGAACCAACACCAACATGTTGAGGTAATACTTTAATTATTACTTCATAGATAGAGTTTTAAGATTAAAATATTCGGATTGGACACCATTCTGCAGTTTGTCTTTATATGCCTCAACATTTAAGATTTAAAAAATGCAGTAATGCACCAGTATATAATCAAAGGCTATGAGGAGCTACTGCAAGTTTTAACCAGCGTTTACACCGGTCAGACTTACCTCATAAATGTTGGGGTGCCACATTTTGGTGAGGAAGCGGAAAGCAGGTGGAGAGTATGGGTAGTCGACAGGGAACTTGATCCGAGCCTGAGGGTGAAAGAAGACACATAATAGCAATGTGAGAGGCAGCGGTTTATCTACACTTCTCCTTTGCCAACAGACAAGTCACGACTACTTCCCTGTAAACTGTTAACCGTTTGGGAGAACCTTCTCATCCGATTTAACCAGCAGAGACTTACTCAAAATATCCCAGAAAAGTAAATGGTGATTCCTTTAATTACAGTTAGGCTGCTGTATATCATTTCAGCGCACTAGTGGTGTTTTTTGCTTTAAGAAAAACCTGCAGTGTGTGTTGGATCCACACATAAACACGATGGACACAGCCTCCCGGGGATAACTGAAATCAAGTCTGTACACTGCTGCAGATCAAAACACACACACACACACACACACACACACACACACACACACACACACACACACACACACACACACACAAACAGCTGCTGTGGAGAGAGAGGGCTTCATTGTCAAGGCTTTTCTCCACAGAGACCTATGTTTTACAGCGCTCTGGTGTCAACAAGCAGCGGCTAAATTAACATATTGACGATCATGCTGATCAGCTTCAATAGTGACTGAGAGAGACCTATAAATAGTAGCTGTAGACGCATGGCAAACCCGGAGGAACTAATGACAGTGTAATGTAATATGGTGTAGAGAGAGGGAGGGAGGCTTGCAGTGCCTTCAGCTGCTGAGAGTGTGGAGCTTACACCAGTGGGTGGGGTGGGGTTGCTGGTTTAAAGACATTGTGGGGGTTTGTCCTCTCCAGCTGTCATTGCAACCCAAGACAATCCACCACTCAGACCCGTGTTCTGCTATTATATGCCCTCATACTGAAACCACACCCATCCACACACACACACACTCTGTATAAATCCTACTATGCGTAGAGGATCCCAAACTACACTGATTACACACACGCATGTCACTCACAGCATGAAACCTTCTGCTGACCACCCCCCCCCCAATACACACACACATACTTGCTCACACTTGCTGATTCGGCATGGTCAGCTGGTCCTCGCCACAGTGAACCACCGAGCGAGAGGGTGGGATGGGTGAGGGGGGTTGCCGGCTGCATGGGAGCAGGGAGGTGGTGGAGTGGTAGTGGGAGGGGTGGGGTGGGGTTCCACTTGGAATAAAGGGGGTTGTGCTCTATATAATGCTGTAAGCTTTTAGCCCTCTTTGACTGCATTGTAGCATTTAAAACAGGCTGTATGTAGCAGACACATGCTGTATATCAACGCTCAGACCAAAACGCTACAAGTGTGATCTGTTCATATCCACCCTGACTTTTAGAGCTGTATTTAAGGCTCTGTTGAAGTGTGTGTCAGTATGTCCTGATCTACAGTGCAAGATAAACATTTGTTGTAATGGATGTCTTTCATGATCCCGACTTGCAACCAACAGAATAAACCTGTTCTTCTCACCATATGATATCAGACTGGAGAGGAAACACTGACTCAGCCCTGAGAGAATGCCGCTTGTAGGGGGGGGGGAAAACAAACAAAAAAACAAACAAAAAAAAAAACAAAAACAAAATCCCAGGGTATGACTGACCCTGCCAAAAAACTGGCAGCCCTTCAGAGTGCAGGGTTCAAGCCAACATTGTACACATTACAGGCTGGCAACAGTGCAACACATAGCAGCCAGGCAGGGGGGGGGCTGCAACAGTGAGAGCTTGGTTTGTCTTCCCAAACAATATAAACATCAAGATCATATCTGTCGCCTGGCTGAAAACTGGGCAAAGAATATCTTTGCTTGTGTATTTGGGAAAACTAACTCCTTTACATCATGTCCAACTGACTGTCAAATGTCTGTTCTAATTTACAATGCAATGCCAGTTTTCTGTTGACCCCAATAAGATGAGCTGACAGCTACAGCATCTGCCAGTGATGCTTTAAATAAGCCACAGTAGCTCCCATCACTAGCCATTCAGTATTACTTTGAGAAACCATTTGGTCCAATTCAAATGGGGGTGGAAATGGTACAAAAAAGAACTAGAGGGGATTTGGCAGGGCACAAACTTATGCCAATGCTTCCATTGGGCGAAGTGGTTTAATGCTTGTTTGTCTTCCAGGTATGATTTTCCAGTCAAACAGTGTGTGAATGAAAACCTCTCCAACAGCTCTGAATCTGAACGACCCAGATCTCTTTAGTCCACATGGATTAAAAAAAAGTTAAAGGCAAAAAAAAAAAAAAAATCCCAAAACACCACCAAAATCTAAATCACTCATCCTTTGGCAAAGAGTTGTCCGTCTACGTACTTTCTTCCAAAACTCACTAAGCTATCTTGGAAACAAAAAGACGATCAGACATGGAGGAAAACCTACACTGCATCCAACAGTGGAAAGTAAACCAGAGCTACCCATCTCATCATGAACACAGAGAAATGGTCCCAACCGTTCATTTATATAAGAACATCTTTATGAAAATACGTTTTTGAATAAAAAAAAATAATCTCATATTTCATTCTGTAGCCTGTTGCTGGGAGATCTATGCATCAACACTTCCCATAAAATACCTTCATTCATCGTGATCCTGCGAGTCTGAATGCAAGTAAAGCAGGAAGGTGGGGATTGCATTAAGGAAAGCATGAGCATTGATCCCTGTAAGAAGGTAATGCAGCTTACCGGGAGGCTTTAGTACAGTGTTCCTAGTGACACAATACCACAAACAAAAAATTATAACTGACCCTGAAGAGGGCTTGTGAAGAAGGGAAAGATCAAGGCTGCTTGTGCTTTAAACTACAGATCGATTACAACCAATGGAAATAGGTGCAGTGTCCCCAGGTTTGTGGAGGGAATGAGTGGGTTATAAACTTTACTCTAAACCATAAAACACGAATAATGCGGTGTAAAACTTCACTGAACCGAATATCACGCTGCAACTCTTGACCTGCCCACCCACCAGCGAGCTGACACTTAAACCCTTTCGTGGATGGAAGGATAGGAGGAGAGGATGGATGGGTGGTTTTAGAGAAGAGTGACAGAGCTGGCCTAAACACAGACAGGCTGCTTGGTTGGCTCATTTGCTCTGCAGCAGTGAGCAGCTTGTCTCCTCTGTAGTCAGCACCGAGCAGACAGAAGTGAAGAAACACGAGGACGAGGAGGAAGAGGCGGAAGGAGAAAGGGGATAATGCAGCAAATCAGCTCTCTCTTTCAAGTTTCCAGAGATCATACTCTCTCTATAAGTTCTTGTTTTTATTATATACTTACATCTTAGTGTATCCTGTACAACACTCACTTTTTCCCCACTCTGCCTCCACAACCCTTTTGGATCAAGCGAAAATTAGGTATTGCTTCACATACGGCAACTCAACAAAGATCTCTGCCCGTCACAAAGTGCTAGCCTCAGTACATTTGTTGCAACATGCCACCGCTGGCTTGCCTGTCATGCCTCATAATTGGACTGAACTGAATTGAGCTCAGATTTAACAGCATCCATGGTCAAAAGGTGATTCACTCTGAAGAGCTCATTTGAGCAGCAGAAATGAAGTGTAGTCAATTTCCTGCCATGCATGCACGCATGCAAAAAAAAGAAAGACACATGAAGGGCTTGTTACTGAGAATATAGAAGACAAGATCAGTTTGCTCTTTCTATGAAACTCTTTCTTGGATTGTGACCTAAAAAAGCTGCCTTGAAAAGATAATGGGAATGAGAGTGAATGCGCCCACCCTGTGGAAAATGACAGCAAGGCGAAGTAAACCAGGTCAATGCAAAGACCCTGAACAGAAAAAAAAAGTATCTTTCTGTTCTCCCTGTGCACCTCATCCACCTTCTCTACAGACCACACACACACACACACGAGGAAAAGGTCCTTGTGTAGAGCAAATTCCATAGCGCACACGCACACACACTCGCGCACACACACGCATGCACACGTCCCAGAGATTATCATGTTCATACCCAACAGCCCCCAGCGTCATTAACTCAATTCATAAGGAGGATGTAGAGAAGAAAAGGATCAAAACCTGGTGCGTTACGTTACAAACCGATTCCTAGGTGACTGCAACACATGGAAAATGAAAACAACCATTTGTAGCAATGTTTGAAAGGTGTGATGTCCACATTCGAGGCCCATACAGGAAGAGAAAAAGAACACATGGCCAGGGCTTCAGGGGATGGTTATAACTGTCTTCTGGGGCCTCACACTCACCTCTTCTCACAGCAGGCTCTCCTTTCAAAGGGGCACCACTGCAAGGAAGGGCTCTGCCTGCTCTTGATCTGCCTGTTTCTGTATTCCCTCTTTTTTCCCTCTCTCCTGCTCTTGTTTCTCTGTGACACAGCCAGAGGGGGAAACATGACTCCGACAGCTCAGCTAGGCCCGGCCCAGCCAAGCCCTCTGCGGCCCGGTTGGGTCCTCTTGCCTGTACCCTCCCCTCCTCTGCTACTGCAAGGCTAACATAGAGCCTGTGCAAATTATGTAGCATGCATCCGAGGAGGAAGGAAAGCAGGCACAAACACAGAGTCAGCTGCTCAACACAACTCTGGTCTGTCAGAGGCTAAAAAAGACAGAGAGGCCCAGGCCAAAAACTGAAGGGCAACACCTCCCGCTTTCACATTTGCTATGAAGTGGTCTGTCAGTCGATTAAACCACTTGACTGCGATATGAAAGGTTTTGTTTCACAGTATGAGTTGCAGAGGGCCCATTTGGATCAGTGTTACATGCAACAAAAATTATAATTAAAGCTATCAAGTGCTGACACAGCAACACTTCAAACACGATCATCCATTCAATTTCACAGGCACCTCCACAGCAGTGCAGTTCAGACCTGTGTCGCCACCCACGGAGCACGATTTCTGCTGTATGTCACCGTGAGAAACTTCTCTGTGAAACAAATGCAGATGAACTAATGGTTGTGGATGTAGAACATTATTTCTCTGCTGTTGTGGTGCATGGCACAATACGAAGCAGGAAAGAGTGAAATCTGCCTGTGAGGTCACAGAAAAAGCAATGTCATACTTCTCAAGTGGAATTAATGGACTAGTCTTTATGGTCACAGATTTGTCATAGATTTGGTGGATTTTGTGCTTATGTTAATAAACCATGCAGATGGTAGTAACAATATAATGTATTTATAAATAAAATGGATACTGAGAAATTGAGAGTTCAACAATAGCCAAAAAGTGAATTACTGTATCTAATTAGTTCCAGTAAAAATAAAAAACTGTAGTTTTTTTTGTCTATGTGTGTGCGTGTGTGTAGCTGGTGTTTTTGACTTGTGTAAATATGAAACTAATACTTGACACAGTAAAGAGAAAAAATAAATCAGAGCATTAGACTTTGTAATGGAAATATGTTCCTGTACTTTATGCCATGTAAGGTAAAATCTATTGGTTGAGCCTGTTGTTGCAGACACTGTGTGGGCTCCTTGGAAAGTACAATAATTAGTTTTGACCTGTTGAAGAGTGACTTGATTTGAACTGGGGTCATACCAACTGTTCTGAATTACATTATTATAAGTAGAAGTGCTGTGATTCACCACTATTCTTCCACTTTGATTCCACTAATTTAATGCGGATATTGCACCAAAATGCAAGCAGCCACAAATTGTGAGACTGCAAATTCCTAAGGAGACGGGATAGCGGATCCAAATCACAAACAAGTAGCTCAACAGCAATTAAAGATTTTGACCATACCCAAAAATCTAAAATACAACCAATCATTCACATGAAGTCTTGAATAAATGTGAGTAAGTTGTTGTGGTTGTGATGGTGACAAGAATGTGACCGTGTTATTTAATAAATTCTCACATCTTGAAATGTTCCTGGGGTCAAGAAAATGTGCGAAGAGAAGACAGGTGTTCAAGAGAAAGAAAAAGGTGCAGAGAGAGAAAGAGAGAATCAGTCACGAACCAGAGATCTACTAGAAAAAATGATGCGCTAGACAGAAAATGACTTGCACAGTTTTTATGTTTCAGTCATGATTGTATGACACGGTCAGCATACAGTTGAAGCACCATAAAACTAGACAACCTCCCCATTAATCTTAATGGTAGAGTGGGATAAAAAAAAAAAATTCTAATGGTGTCCCAATTTCAAGGTTTTTGTATTAAAGGCGCAGATTAAGAATGCATTACACTAAAGTATATAGCTTAAACCTCATAGTCAGCGTATCATTTGGAAATTCAAACTTAACGTGAACAATAACAACACAAACACAGTGAGTCACTATCCTAACACCCCTTCAACTCTTGAATTCTGGGGTCGGCATCTCAGTTCCTCTGCTTCATACATGGCCCAGGACTGTTGCTGGCTATGGGACGGACTGGCCCTCAGACCCTGGAGGCTTACCTCACATGACAAAGCAGAAAGTACACACACAAAGGATCTTAAGCTTGGAAATATCTCAGAACCAATGCATGAGTGTCAGCATCTGGGCCTACTGTGAGACCTTCGGGTCAATGGTCAATACATCACGATAAGCTAGTGTTTACTTATGTGTATCCAGGTCAGTTATCTAATGCTGTTTCAGTGACAATTCAGTATGTCTCAGTCTACAGTGTGTCTGTAGTCATGATGTATTCATCATGGTGTGACTCTTTGAGAGCAACACCCATGTGAAATAAATACCTGACTCAGCCTGGTTTCATGTGATGTCATTACCTGCCCTGTTTCTAATGAACAGGCAGCTGCAGCGTGTCACAACTGCTTGTTTGTTTGGTTAACCTGGTTGCAGCGGTGTGCTTTTTTGTTGTTCTTTTCTGTTAGAATATGGCAAACTGGTTGGATGGAAACCCAACACAGAACAATGAGTCACAACCATGCGGTGGATTTCGCAGCCAGGCTGTGCATTCCTGGCCCGACAAAGGAATCCTGTACACAGCACCCACACAGATACACTGAACACCGTCTACGGTAGCCTTGCCGGGGCCCTCTGCCTGTGTTCACAGGCTTGAAAAAAACCAGAGGCAGAATGAAGAGGCTTCTCAAGAACTGGACTCACAAAGCACTGTATAGCTTAAGTGATACAATATGCTGGATAGGCTGAACACAGTGGGAGCAATTGCCGATACATTACAGTTTAGTTGTTGTATGGAGACAACATAGCATTAGCATTATGAGCCCATGACAAAAGCCCTTTTAACGAGACTATGTACAATTTGAGTATGTTGTTATTTTTGTGGGCGTCTTTTGCTACGAATTTAAATCTTCTTTCGGAGCCCTGACCTATATTATCCTTGTCTTTTTACTCAGAAAGACAGGACTAATACCACCTTAATAAATGCCCATTATTTTTTGTTTGATGTACAATAAATTAACTATCTAGGGCAAGTCTGAAGCAGACCTACCAGGTGTTTTGTTGATGTTGCCAGACAAAGCAATAAATCAAAACGGATTATTGGATGAATACCCATATTAGAATAGGACTTGAAATCTGAGTGAACAACAATCCCCTCAGTGTTTTGCAACATATGATTTTCAAACACTCATTTGAGTTTGAGAGAAAATAACAGTAGGCTCTCTGCTGTGCCAACAAACGCAAGGATATTCAGTATTTACAATGTAGGTGTGTAGCTTACAGGGGGACTTGAAGTGAGACTGTTTCTGTTGCTCCAACCATTGTGGAAAACAGTATAAATAACCAGCAGTTAACAGGTCAAGGGTCACAGCCATGGGTGACATGAAAATGAAGAGCTGATGCTCCTTCTCTAAAAAGATATCACAATTATAGATAAAGTGCTAGAGAAGATTAAAAGAAATGTAGCCAAGACAATTCAGTAGTTAATAACTTAGTAGAGGCTTTGTAAACTTCCAACTCTCTTGGCCAGCTGCACAAACGCTCTAAAACGGGAACAAGATATCTGTGAAACCAACACATCCTTCACTCTCAAGGGAGGAAGTATGCCAGAAAACAAATTAAATGACAGATGAGTTTGCCAAAGTTAGACACGCTCAATGTCTACGCTTCATAGGCAATCCATGCTTGAGTTAATTTCATATACAAACAAAATGCTTGGTCAACCTAGGGCTGCTGATTTGTACTGTTAAAACACAAAGGAATTGACTGAATTAGTTAGATGATGAGCTTTTCTAATCAGAGCAACGTTAAAGCTTGGGGCCGTTGTGCTAACAAACCTTTTGTTTCATGTTAACACAAAAGTGACTGTCAAACGTGATCATGCGCTGACTGTCACTATAAGGGACCTCGGTTAACTTGTTTTTTTTTTTCATATATAAAAATGAGCCATAGCTAAAAAGTTTTAGTGTCTAGTAGCCCGCACCACTAAAATGTAATAATCCTGATTGAGTGGAGTTGATTTAAAGTTGAACAAAGAAGGGGAGAGTTTTATCACAGTAAACAACTGCCAATTAGCCAAGTTAACGTTATTAACTGTTACCTGCCGTTGATGAAGACGGTTACCTAAAGGCTAAGGTTAACCGTTGAGCTGTGCTCTATGAGCAAATTACTTAAATGTAGGCTAAATCAACCAGCTAAAGAACAATAGATCGACTGCTAGCTAACATTAGCTACTCACCTTAAAATAACCACCCTCGTAGTGAGTATTTGGGGGTCCGAATATCGCTACTTCCCAGTTGTACATGTCCGACTCGTCCACCAAAGTTATTTTGAACCCTTCGACCGGCTCATCTTGGAGACTTTTCATCTCCAGCATTAGTGCTTTTTGGGAACTGGCTACATGATGTCCATGCTGAGCCATATTCCACAACGATTTGTGTAAATATATCAGCAACACCACCAGAGCTGTTACTGCGAAGGACAAAGCTAGCTCGGTACAAACAATAGCTTTCAGTAGAACAACGAAGCCCTGTCGCACCAGAACGCGTTAACGTTAGTTTCCGTTTGTGTGGTTCCGAGACAGGATCTAAAAATCGCGACTGTGCTTTATTTGGTCAGAGCTGGTGCGCCTTCCTCTGTTGTTGTGAACAATCCCTCGTAGCTGTTATGAACAACCATCTAAACCTACTGTTATCAAGTCAGACACTGACACATCTACTGGATTTCCGGCTATAGCTTTCGAAATTTAGCCTCTATTTATCTGTTTGAACATATAGTTTCGTTCCATAGTTAACAGCTCACAACTTCACAGTCTATTTATTTTTGATTTTTGTTGTTATATACACCCCAACATTATTGAAGTATATATTTCGTGCGTCACTTTCCCGTCGGTTTTCAGGGTGTTTACTGTTAGCTAGCTCAAAATGCAATCTTACTCAAAGGTAAACTCAACTATTGACCTGTTTTCAAAAGATATGATAAACCTACATATTGTAGATGCTTTTTAATTTTGGAAGTTCAGCCGGCATAAGTCGTAGCCTTGTGCCCATTTCGCATAACCCTTTTAAGGATATACGGTTCACGTGTTCAAGTGGGGATTTTATTTTGAAAGTACAAACAGGAAACTTTTTTTTTATCGTTTTATCCTGGTTAGCTTGGTGGTGATGCTAACGAAAGCTAGCCTGTCTCCTCTTTTGGGTGCGTTGCTACCAGAAGTAAATGAAGGTCGGCGGAGCGACCTTTGCTTTCAAACAAACTAGTTATGCATGAAACTACAAAACCAAAACCAGTGGCTCTGTCAGTTGAACTTCACTCAACTCAGCTGCTCGCTGTCAGTCAGTGAGGTTATCTCGATTTCCTCTGCTGTCAGGCGAGGCTTTCTGGGAATTGAAGTTCAAAGGAACACATCTACATTTACTGTATTGGGCAAATGTTAAAAGTCAGTATATCGATAACATTCCCTCCATGTAATAATAATAATAATAATAATAGGGATACATATAAATATATGTAACAACACACCTCCATACTAACACTGTTTTTTTCATTTGTTGTCTCCTTACATATGTGGGTGTTTATTGGTTCACTGTAACACACACACACACACACACACACACACACACACACACACACACACACACACACACACACACACACACACACACACACACACACAGTAAAGACTACATCAGCTTCTTACAGCCTTTATTTTTAATCAGGGTGGACTTTGTTTAAAGGGAATGTAGATAATTTATGTTACCCCCTTTAAAACATATATTACATTATACAGCTGGAGAACTGAGTATGGAGAAATAAAAAGACAGGACCTTCAGAAACAGAGTCATATAGGAGTATATTTCAATGTCACAGCCAAACTTGGTAAAATAACTCACTACAACTGAACCAATAGAGAATTAAGACAGAGTGGGTTGCCTCTCAGTACACTGCTTCATGTGACCCGTTCTATTCAACTTATTAATCGGAGCCCTAAGCCCTGTGTGTCATGACAGCAAATAGAACCCCCTTCCTTCCCCTGTGTTTAATAATTTAAAACATTCAATAATATCACTTTTTAAAATTGTCTGATCTTAGAGTAGATAAAAACACAATACCATCAAAAACAGAGAATGGTCAAGTAAACTTTATAAAAAAAAAAAAAAAAAAAGACTATAAAGAAAAAGGACAAGATGGAATGACCAGTTTTTGTTTGTGTAAGCATGTCCATGGAACAGAAAACAGGAAATAAAAAGTGTACATTCCTAATCATGCAATATACAAATTTTAATCAAATATTATGCACAGGAAAAATGATCAGAATCAGGACAAAGTATGATTGGTTGAGTTGTTTTTTTCAGTTTCACTGATATCAGTCATTTTCAAGAACAGGGAATACATACATACTCATTTTCTATTGACATTCCTGATATACAGCTGATCACCTCTGTATTCAGACTACTACTGGACAGAAGCTCTCATGGAATGGCTGACCTGATCTTCAGGTCACAGACATCATTATCGTTGTTATCTACAATAGCAGACAGATGTGAAGGGGTCTTATCAGTATATATGAACAGAGACACAACCAAGTCAGTTTTTATCTTGCTACTACTAGGTTAAGTCGTTCTGGACCAGGTAGTGACATGAATGACGCAAACTAAAACATCACGTACCTCAGTGTTTTAAGAGGAGGCCATTTTTTTTCTTTTTTTTTTTTTTTCTTTTTTTTTTTTTAAATGGCCTTTCATGTTCATCATAACATGTCAATGCACAAAAAAGTGGCAAGGCAGTTTCAGGAGGGAAAAGAAACATTGGGGATTTATCTGGGTGCACACCAGCTGGGTGTCAAACAGCCTGGGTGCAGCTACTGTTATGCAAACGTTAAAAGTGGTGCAGTATTTGTTTCACGATTTCACGAGGACAGACAAAACTCCATTCTGCTGTTGACAGAACATGGAAGCTACGTTGCAAAATACTGATTGAGAGGGAACCTAAAAATCACTGACCACTTCACAGTCTCTGCTTACAGAGAAAACAACTTCAGCAACCTGATATGCAGAGCAGCTGGTTTTAGAAACAGAGAAAGGCTGATAGTGTAACTATGTCATCCTTTAGCTAATCAGTTTGAATTTTCAGAGAAAGGAGTAAGGGCAATGACATAACATGAGCAGCTCTTCATGTCAGATTATTCTGTCGCTAATTTGACCATATGGTGACACAAATGAGGACCGTCAGCACCATAGCGGCCTCATAGGAATAACATGTTTCTGTATAATTACAATATAACATCTTCTATACAACTAACAACTCCAGCTATGAGTTGATGAGGAGGCTGACAAAGGTGGCATTGGCCTGACACCAAAATGTCCTGTGCTGAAACAGAAATCTCACATTACACTTCTACTCTGGTGAGAGAGTTTCTTTCAATTACTCTCCTGTCTTCAAATTCATCCTTGATTGGTGAAAGGTATGATATACTGGAAGTTTGTGTTTGGGAAGGGGGGAGGTTGGGTCAAACTGTTGGATCAGGGAGCAAATACTGGGGAGGAAGGTGGAGCTCTATGAGACGCATGAAGCGCTGGAGTAGGTCAGACTGCACAGCTAAAGGCACAGAGCAAAACCACTGATCTACTGTTCAAATCTTCCACAGTGCCACACAAGGATTCTGTTAAACTAACACTAGCAGATCTGCTCTGAGCCTTGCCAAAAGGCAAGTAGGGCAAACAGCTCTGATAGTAGTTAAAGACCCATGCCTTAAATGTAGCTTTGGTTTCATGTCTGCACTATCCTCACTACAGAGTCCCCAATTTTTCCAGCTAGGATCAGTCTGAGAAAGAGTCAGTCACATGGTTTTTCCAGGCCTACACAGATGAGCAGCACACACACAGATGTTTAGTGAGCAGAAAGAAGGGGGCGAGACAAAGGCGCAGACAGGCTTTAGACAAAAAAAATTAGACAGATACAACAAACAAAAACAAACCAAAGACAAAAAAGAACTTCAAAACAGTAAAAACACAATTCAACCATCAACGGCAAAAGTCCAGTTGTCAACATTACATTACATGACTGTCATAGACTGAATTGCCGACAGAGTAGAGGGCGGAAAGGTACACAGGAAAGAGCAGAGGATGCCGGGCATCCAGAAACAGGAGCTCAGTAGAGTCAAAGTCGGGTGGAAAAGGGTGGCTGTTAGGGGTCGAAAACCAGGAAGTAAAAATGAAAGTGCATTGCAGAGGAGACGGAGCATGTACACAGTGAGTCTGTAAAACAACATCAAGTGTCGGGGAGTGACCACAGAGCTCAGAGTGCAGAAGAACAACAGAGTGTGGGACACTGACGTAGAAGGTAAGGGGAAAGAAATCTTGCGAACCTCAGGACTAATAAATAGGGCGATAATTGAAGTGCCAGCCGCAGTGTTTCGTAACATGATTATGTTGTGTTACAGCGAGGGAGGGGTGGTGATGTGGCCTGGTTGGGGGCACCCTGGGGCTGTCAGACACAATCAGCACTGAGAGAAGGTCTGCTTGATCTCATCCAGCACATTCCCAAGCAGCGTCGGCTCGTCACATTTAGCGTCAATGGACACTGTCTGACCAGACTGGGAGAAAGAGAGTGGGAGACAGACAAGGACAAGGTCATTATCAGAAAATGTCCTGTTTTGTATTTATTATTCATTCGTGGGGCAACAACAAAAATTTGGTTTTGAATATCTCAAGCTACTGTTGAACAGAGGATAAAGGAGGAATTTCACTTGTTCACTTACAGTTTTGACCAGCAGACAGACGTGGTGACCCTGGATAGACCTGCTGTACATAGAGGCACAGGAGTCGATCCTCTCCACAACTGGTCAAACAAGACACAAAAAAACACAATAGTCAGCAATGCTCAGAAGAATTGCGTGCAATTATTATGATGCTTATCTTGAATAACACTCCTACTGTATTCTGAATGTGCAACACTCTACCCATTTGGTCATTTTGTTACTTTAATGTTTTAGGACAAAAGTCTGTCACTTGAGACAAACAGTACATGTCCTGGTGTATATGTACCAGAGAAGTGGTGATGGAAGCAGATCCTGGCCAGTAGGTGGTGGAAGGGCATGTTCACTCCCTCCAGTCTGACAGAGCTGCCCTTCAGGTCCCCCGATTCCAGCAGCTTTGCAAACGCATCACTAACCAAACAGAAACAAATCAGTTTTCAGTTTCACCTTGTCCAGGACCAAGAGCCAAGACAACTCAAAAAAGAACAGCCAAAATTTTGTTCCTTTTAGTGCTAATATTCATGGTGCTCAGAGGACAAATCATATGTTTTTTTGTGATACAGTGACATTTCCTCTACCCACAAAAAAAATTTAATCACCAACCTGTAGCAAGGAGTAGTGATTAGGTAGGAGGTGCAGGTAAAGTGCAGTTTGAAGTCCAGTTTCTCATGAGTGGAGTCCTCCTCATTCTGGAGGAACACAACACAACAACAAATAAAGATAATCAGTAACATAGTGACACATTGACATGTGTCAATGTTTGTTTTTGCTGTGTGTATGTATGTATTTTCTGACCAA